TTAAAAGAATTATGCCCCTTGGAAACATTAATTATATGGAAAATTGCATCGTTAGTGCTCTCATGTGTACAATTCTTGCCTGATTTTTATGAAACTTATATTGTAGGTTTATATCACCGATGTCTTGGATGAGTTGGAAAATCTGTGCCGATCAATTATTTTTAAAAGAGTTATGCCCCTTGGAAATATTAATTATATGGGAAATTGCCTGGTGAGAGCTCTCATGTGTACCATTCTTGCCAGATTTTTATGAAATTTGTATTATTGGTTTATATCATCAATGTCTTTGATGAGTTCAAAAATCTTTGCTGATCAATTATTTTTAAAAGAGTTATGCCCCTTGGAGATATTAAATATATGGAAAATTGCATCGTTAGTGCTCTCATGTGTACAATTCTTGCCAGAATTTTATGAAATGTATATCATAGGTTTATTTCAGCAATGTCTTTGACACTTTCGAAAATAAGTGCTGATCAACTATTTTTAATGAGTTATGCCCTTGGAAATATTAATTATATAGGAAATCACATTGAATTTGCTCGGAAGCATTCATTTCTCTAAGATATTTATCAACAGTTTTAAAGAACCCAAAAATAGTGTTTTTGCCCTTGATCCTAGGATAGATAAAATATGTGCAACGCGGGGACATTAGAACTCTGTTCTTTTATTATCTTTTTTTTATGCATCTAGTAGTTAAAGTTTTTGATAAAAAATATTGCCTCCCCTCTTTGGTTTGTTGTATAAGAATCGAAAAGACAATTTCCTTCCATAGATTCTTTAGATGTATTTTTGTCCCCCGTGCAACGCGTTGCAGGTGACATAGAGATACCGAGCGTCTGTCCGTGCGTCTGTCCATCCGATCTTGTTAGCGCTTTCACATGTACAATTCTTGCCAGATTTTTATGAAACTTATATCATAGGTTTATATCAGCACTGTCTTGGATAATTTCGAAAATCAGTGCCGATCAATTATTTTTAAAAGAGTTATGCCTATTGGAAATATTAATTATATGGAAAATTGCATTGTTAGCGCTCTCATTTGTACAATTCTTGCCAGATTTTTATGAAACTTATATCATAGATTTATATCAACAATGTTTCAGACAAGTTCGAAAGTCAGTTCCGATCAATTATTTTTAAAAGAGTTATGCCCCTTGGAAATATTGATTTATATGGAAAATTGCATTGTCAATGCTCTCATGTGTACAATTCTTGCCAGAATTTTATAAAACTTATATCATAGGTTTTTATCAGCACTGTCTTTGACACTTTTGAAAATAAGTGCTGATCAAATATTTTTAACGAGTTATGCCCTTTGGAAATATTTATTATATCGGAAATTACATTGTATTTGCTCTGAAGCCTTCATTTTTCTAAGATATTTATAAAAAGTTTTAAAGAACAAAAAAATAGTTGTTTTTTTAAGTTATTGCCCTTGTACCTTGCATAGATAAAATATGTGCAACGCGGGGGACATTGGAACTCTGTTCTTTTATATCTTTTTCCGAAAGTGTGCATCTTGTTAACAATATCTGTGACAGTTTTTTTGTATTAAAGATAATCGAAAACATATCTCCTCTTCTCCTTTGAAAGTATTTATTGGCAGTTGTATGAGACAAATTTTATACCATTATTACTCATTTTTGTCCCCCACGTAACGCGTTGCGGGGGACATGGAAATACCGGGCGTCCGTCTGTGCGTCCGTCCGTCTGGTCTTGTTAGCGCTCTCACGTGTACAATTCTTGCCAGATTTTTATGAAACTTATATCATAGGTTTATATCAGCAATGTCTTGGACCAGTTCGAAAATCAGTGCCGATCAATTATTTTTAAAAGATTTATGCCCCTTGGACACATTAATGTTATGGAAAATTGCATCGTTAGCGCTCTCATGTGTACAATTCTTGCCAGAATTTTATATCATAGGTTTATATTAGCAATGTCTTGGACGAGTTCAAAAATCAGTGCCGATCAATTATTTTTAAAAGAGTTATGCCCTTGGAAACATTAATTATATGAAAAATTGCATCGTTAGCGCTCTCATTTGTACAATTCTTGCCAGATTTTTGAAACTTATATCATAGGTTTATATAAGCAATGTCTTGGACGAGTTCGAAAATCAGTGTCGATCAATTATTATACGACCGCAAAAAAAATTTTGTGGTCGTATATTGGTATGACGTTGGCGTCGTTGTCATCGTCGTCGTCGTCGTCGTCCGAAGACACATTGGTTTTCGCACTCTAACTTTAGTTTAAGTGAATGGATCTCTATGAAATTTTACCATAAGGTTCAATACCACAAAAGAAAGGTGGGGATTGATTTTGGGGGTTATGGTACCAACAGTTAAGGAATAAGGGGCCAAAAAGGGGTCAAAAATAAGCTTTTTTGTAACTTCCAGACTTAACTTACAGTGTATGTGTTAGTGTATGGATCTCTCTGACATTGTACCACAGGTTTCCATATCACAAAGGGAATGCTGGGATTGATTTTGGGGGTAATTGCCTCCAAATTTTAGAAATTAGGGGCCAAAAAGGGGCAAAAAACAAGCATTTTTCTAGTTTCATGACAATAAATTGTGTGTAAGTGTATGGATCTCTCTGACATTGTACCACAAGGTTCCATATCACAAAGGGAATGCTGGGATTGATTTTGGGGGTAATTGCCTCCAAATTTTAGTAATGAGGGGTCAAAAAGGGGCAAAAAACAAGCATTTTTCTAGTTTAATGACAATAACTTGTGTTCAAATGTATGGATCTTTATGAAATTGTACTACAAGGTTCCATATCACAAAGGGAAAGCTGGAATTGAGTTTGGGTATAATTGCCAAAAACGTTTAGGAATAAGGGGCCAAAAAGGGGCCAAAAATAAGCATTTTTCTAGTTTCCAGACAATAACTTGTGTTCAAGTGTAGGGATCTCTCTGAAATTGTACTGCAAGGTACCATACCACAAAGGGAAGGCTGGGATTGATTTGGGAGGTAATTCCCTCAAAAATTTTAGGAATTAGGGGCCATAAAAGGGCAAAAAAACAAGCATTTTTCTAGTTTCAGGACAATAACTTGTGTGTAAGTGTATGGATCTTTATGAAATTGTACTGCAAGGTTCCATATCACAAAGGGAAAGCTGGGTTTGAGTTTGGGGGTAATTTCCCTAAACGTTTAGGAATTTGGGGCCAAAAAGGAGCCAAAAAACAAGCATTTTTCTAGTTTCCAGACAATAACTTGTGTTCAAGTGTATGGATCTCTCTGAAATTGTACTGCAAGGTACCATACCACAAAGGGAAGGCTGGGATTGAGTTTGGGGGTAATGAATCATAAGGGGGTTCAAAAAATTTGGGGGGGGGGGGGTTTTCCTTTTTTTTTCTTTAAAATTTTCATTTTAAATTGGTTATTTCTGATTTATATATAAAAGCAAATACTAATGATATGGTTTGAATACGTAAATTAAAAAAATTTAAGTTCTAAGACCACATTCATTCTGTGTCAGAAACCTATGCTGTGTCAAATATTTAATTACAATCCAAATGCAGTGCTGTATCAAGCTTGAATGTTGTGTCCATACTTGCCCCAACTGTTCAGGGTTCGACCTCTGCGGTCGTATCAAGCTGCGCCCCAGCGGAGCATTTTATTTTTAGAAGAGTTATGCTTCTTGAAAAATAAATTGTATGGAGAATTGCATTGTTAGCGCTCTCATATGTACAATTCTTGCCAGAATTTTATGAAACTTAAATCATAAGTTTATAATAGCAATGTCTTGGACGAATTTGAATATCAGTGCCGATCAATAATTTTTAAAAGAGTTATGCCCCTTGGAAATATTAATTATATGGAAAAATTGCCTTATGAGCGCTCTAATGTGTACAATTCTTGCCAGATTTTTATGAAATTTATATCATAGGTTTATATCATCAATGTAGATGAGTTCAAAAATCAGTGCCGATCAATTATTTTTAAAAGAGTTATGCCCCTTGAAAATATTGATTATATGGAAAATTGCAATGTTATCGCTCTCATGTGTTCATTTCTTGCCCGAATTTTATGAAACTTATACCATAGGTTTATATCAGCAATGTATTTGACACTTTCGAAAATAAGTGCTGATCAAATATTTTTAACGAGTTATGCCCCTTTGAAATCACATTGCATTTGCTCTGAAGCCTTCATTTCTCCTAAGATATTAATAAAAATTTTAAAGAACAAAAAAAGTGTTTTTTTTAGTTATTGCCTTGTACCTTGGAAAGATAAAATATGTGCAACGCGGGGGACATTGGAACTCTGTTCTTTTATTTGAATGAAATTTACATTCATAGCAGAGTAATAACTTGAGATTTGGTACATGTATTAGACCTGATTCTCCCATAAAGTATTGTATTAGATAGTGTTTATGTTAAAATAACCCTGAAATATCTTACCTCCTCTACCTTTTTCTACATTTATTTCAAGCTGTTTCCTAAATGTACAATAAGAAATACTGTGCCAATATGGAAAAGAGACATACAATATAATAGAAAATTAAAGAAGAAAATTTGAGATTAAAATGTAAACAAGAAAAGACTAATGATAAACAAAAACATTATTATTTTGATGTAGAGTAACATATCCACTTATGTTCTATTTGTTAATACAGAAATACTGTGTACATGTACAATGGGAGATTACTCTATCTAATTGAAATTATAATAACAATTGTCTCCTCGTTATATGCAAATACTTTGATTTGTTTCAGCTCATTGAATTGTGTTTTTTTTTTTTACTTCAAAGGGTCAAACAAAAGAATAATGTACTGTTTCTGTTTGTGAAAATGAAAATTGTGTGTCTAGGTACATTGGAACTCTGTTCTTTTATTCAACTTGACAAGGTAACTTCGTGCAGAAGGAAAATAGAAAATACTCACTTCTTGACTATATTGTAATACACATGTAATTATTTTGTAGAACCTTATGTAACTATGCTTTGACATTATTATTTTTTTCATGAACATTTCTTGTCATTTTTTTTTAGATTAAAGCTCATATTCCAAAAATTCTAGAGTCTATTTCATGTGTAGTTGGAACAGAAAAGGTTAAACAAGGTATATATTTTTAGTACTTTGCTTCCGTGTGAGATATAGCTGTCACCTGGTATTGGTCTGGAATTTTTCTCTATCCCACACTTACATACTCTGTGCGAATTTAAATCAAACTGAGCGTGAAACAACGTTAGAATATTGAATGTATAATTGGTGTGAATGATTTTGACAACTATATTATTGTGAGAAACAATACTAAACTATGTTTCAAAATAATATTTTCGTCATGGCAGCAAAACAAATGTATGCTTATGCTTCAGTGCATACAACTTTATACAAAGCTTTATATTTCAGGAGACAGAATAGACGGATAATTCATGTCTTGAATGCTTTTAGGTCTGAAGTTTCATCTGCCATATAAACACCGTCCTTGACCACATTTTCACTGTTAAAATTACTGTTTATTTGGAAGATTATGTGAACTTTTCGTATACTATATGTGTTTATAAGCCTCAACTTTATTTATCCTCGATTACTTTTGTTAGGTGAACATTGTCAGTGACATGGACACACTTAACCTTGACCTCATTTAAATGATGTTCTTCAACAAAAAGATTTTGTTATCGATCAGTTCATCAATAGTTAATCAAATGGTCAACCATATTTGATAAGAAACCATAGGAAGTTTTTAAACAGCAGTCAACAACAAAGATATAAAAGTATGTTAATACTATAAAAGGCACTTCATGACGGGGTCCTTTACTGAATTGAAAGTGTGTTTAATTTCAGTCGGAATTTTTAGTATTCCTATTGTCATCTAATGAAAGCATTCAGTGAATTAGGTGTACAGTTTTCCTTGCTTGCAATAGCTTTCTGTTTGAACCAAATCTTGTTTTATAACATGGTTTCTTAAAAATCAAATTTTTATCATGAGCAGCTGGACATGTCGAGTGGTGCAGAATTCGCTTATACTTCTAGAGAACCTAATGTTATTGGGGTACATGTTTGCAACTTGTTATTCCTTAGTTTAATTAAGAAAGTGGGAGATAATAAAATGGGTACGTCTGTCCATAATCAATAATTCCTTGTTCATTTTATTGGTACTATTGGTTGCATGTATTGCATATTATACCTCTTTCTTTTCATATTAGTGGTTAGTTGCATGAGCCAAATAGATACAGTTACATTCGTGTTTGAACTTTCAGGTCCAGTGTTTAGTTTTACATCGTTTAATATAAGGATTAATATCATTTTAAGAAAGGTTAAATGGTTAATCATTTTACAATATATTATTCTTCTCTCATTCATATTTAGTATTCTAGTTCTAATGTTGTCATTGGAGATGGTTTACTCCTGGTTTGCCCACTTTTAATTATACCAATTATCTATTAGTAAAGAAAACAAAAAAGACAAAAGGTTTAATGAGCATACAATTGTATAGTCTGTTCCAACTTAGGTGTATAGGATCATATAGTTTATTAGCGTTTTCTATATATTCAGGTATTTTTTATTTTGTAATTCCATTTTCATTTGAATAGGAAAAAAATGAATAAATCAAAAAAAAATTTCCCTCAATAATTTAATATCAATTCATTCGATTCACATACATATTGAACAACTAATGACAAAACAATGACCTTCAGTTATAAAAGTGTCATAATAATTCATTAGTTTCTGAATGATTTTCATGATATAAATACACCAACACAAGTTGGCTTTTATTGCAAACATAATTTATATAATATATGAATCAAATTTATAAATGCATTGCATAATGAAATAAATAAAGCACTAATGTAAAATAAATAATATGGGGCACTAAATGTATAATGATGGCAAATACAATCTTTTTGTCGAGCCTGCGACTTTTGTTGCAAAAGCAAGACATAGCGATCCTACATGCCGTTGTTGGCGGCGGCGGCAGCGTCCACAAATATTCACTCTGTTGTTAAATTTTTGAAATTTTAATAACTTTCATAAACTATCCTGGATTTCTACCAAACCTAGACAGAATCTTGTTTATGATCATAAGATAGTATCCAGAAGGTAATTGTGTAAACAAAAATCCTGTGTGTTCGTATTTTACTTATAAATGGACTTAGTTTTTCTGCGAATTAACATTGCATTCACTCTTTGGTTAAAGTTTTTTAAATTTTAATAACTTTCTTGAACTATCCTGGATTTCTATCAAACATGGACAGAAGCTTGTTTATGATCAAAGATAGTATCCAGAAGGTACTTTTGTTTAAAAATCGTATTTTACTTATAAATGGACTTGGTTTTTCTGCCAATTAACATTAAATTCACTCTTTGGTTAAAGTTTTTAAAATTTTGATAACTTTCTTAAACGATCCTGGATTTGTGCCAACTTGGACAGAAGCTTGTAAATGACCAATAGCTAGTAGCTATCAAACGTAAAGCTTGGCTACTGAACAGTTGCATTTTAATATATTCTATTTGTTAGAATTAATTGGATATTTTTTATATTAAATTTCTAAGTTTGAAAATTTTGAAATACTTACGCTTTTCTACCTCAGGACTAGATAACCTTAGCTGTATTTGGCAAAACTTTTGAGGAATTTTTTGTCCTCAATGCTCTTCAACTTCAAACTTTATTTGGCCTTTCTAACTTTTATTGATTCGAGCGTCACTAATGAGTCTTTTGTAGACGAAACGCGCGTCTGGCGCAAATACAAAATTTCAATCCTGGTATCTATGATCATGATGATGAGTTTATTCAGAAAAATATATTTATTAAAATTTAAAAAAAAAAATATGTTGAATAAATAAAATAAATAAATAATCTATTATTATTATTTTTCTTAACTTTTTTTCAGAATGTACCAACAATTAAAACTATTTGTTGAGAAATTGTAAAAAAAATAAACATATTTGAACATATATTTGTTTATTTTTTATTTTTATATTTGTCAAATTCAATACATTTTCCTGCTAAAAAAACTAGATCAGATATAATATATTTTGGCACATTTTCCTTGATTTAATAGCAGAATATAGTATCTTTTATAAAATTTTACAGGTAAAATAAAAGGTAAGAAAATGACTATAATTCAGAAATAAACAATAATTGTTAAAACAACAATTCCCCCTATGTTTACATATGTATGTAATTAAAAGTGGGCAAACCAGGATGACACCATTGGAGATATATTGGTTTATATACTTGGGGTTGTTGTTGTTGTTTATACAAATTTATTGATTTTGTCATTAATTGTTGTGGGTTGGCTGTTTTGGCTGGACATGATTGTTATTCAAACACATTAAAGATAGAAATAATTTGAAGATTGACATCTTTTGGTCGCGTAAGAAGGTGGAGATAAGATAAATTCACCTACACACCTTGTTTAACCTCCACTTGACTGTTCAGCTGTTTCTATTTCATATTTGCCGCCATTTTGGTCTTTGTTTATTTAGGTGACCACACACTGATTAAGGACTTCAGTGTTGATAGGTTCTTAATTCTATATATGTTACAATGAATTTAAATTGATAATGGAACACGTACATTACTGAAAATATAAATTTGTCTAGATTCTCTCTAAGTAAAATATTGATTATATGGAAAATTGCAATGTTATCGCTCTTATGTGTTCATTTCTTGCCTGAATTTTATGAAACTTATATCATAGGTTTATATCAGCAATGTCTTGGACGAGTTCAAAAATCAGTGCTGATTAATTATTTTTAAAAGAGTTATGCCCTTGGAAACATTAACAATATGGAGAATTGCATTGTTAGCGCTCTCATGTTTACAATTCTTGCCAGAAATTTATGAAACTTAAATCATAGTCACAGGTTTATATCAGCAATGTCTTGGACGAGTTCGAAAATCAGTGCCAATCAATATATTTTAAAAGAGTTATGCCCCTTGGAAGTATTAATTATATGAAAAATTGCCTTATGAGCGCTTTAATGTGTACAATTCTTGCCAGATTTTTATGAAATTTATTTTATAGGTTTATATCATCAATGTCTTTGACGAGTTCAAAAATCAGTGCCGATTAATTATTTTAAAAAGAGTTATGCCCCTAGGAAATATTAATTATATGGAAAATTGCCTTATGAGCGCTCTAATGTGTACAATTCTTGCCAGATTTTTATGAAAGTTATTATAGGTTTATATCAGCAATGTCTTTGACACTTTCGAAAATAGGTTCTGATCAAATATTTTTTACGAGTTATGCCCCTTGGAAATATCAATTATAATGGAAATCACTATTTTTAGTTATTGCCTTTGTACCTTGGATAGATCAAATATGTGCAACGCGGGGGACAATGGAACTCTGTTCTTTTATTGTTACCTGCAAAACTTTACATAAAATTTGCAAAGTATGTCTTTTTTTTTTGTGTGTAGCATCGGGATAGTTTGTACTGTCTTCGTGTCATTGCCCCGTATATAGATATAAGAAGATGTGGTATGAGTGCTTATGAGACAACTCTCCATCCAAGTCACAATTTGTAAAGGTAAACCATTATAGGTCAAAGTACGGCCTTCAACACGGAGCCTTGGCTCACACCGAACAGCAAGCTATAAAGGGCCCCAAAAATGACTAGTGTAAAACCCTTCAAACATGAAAACCAACGGTCAAATTTATATAAAAAAACGAGAAACGAGAAACACTTATGAACCACATCAACAAACGACAACCACTGAACATCAGGTTCCTGCCTTAGGACAGGTGCAAACAAATGCAGCGGGTTTAAACGTTTTAATAGGCGCCAACCTTCACCCTACCTGAAACAATAGTGTAACATCACAACATAGAAGGTTGTTTTACATATTTGAACAAATTTATATGAAAAAATTCAGAAAATTATTGCAATGATAAAATGAAAGCACATTTTTACATATTTAGAATTCTTTAATCTTTTTATTTTGGTGGCACTACCTGCACATCCAGTATGTGACTGTAGGTGTCATTTTTAGGCCAACACATTTCAGGTGATACGTGACCACTCCAGACATCCGTCGCAAACTAAATATCTATATATATGCATGTCTATACCACACACTAAACACGGTTCCATTCTGCTATATCCTT